ACTCAGGGTTTGCTGAATGAAGAAAGTCATAGGGAAGAGGCTTGGAGGTAAGCAGGAATGAGCCACATGTGTAAACCAGGGAGGGGATCACAGGTAGAGCCCAGTGGCCACGCACCAAAGGTCAACGCTGCCAGCTGCACAGGAGAAGGGGCCAGAGGGGAAGGGGCGGGGGGGGGGAGATGGAGGAGCAGGTAGGCGCAGCTCAGGCTTGGTTCTCGCTCCAGATCTAAATACTACAGAGTTCCCTCTCTGTTGGCTCCACTCTATGACAAACCCCTCCAGATCCTGGTAGGCGTGCTGACTGCAGCTGGTGAGTTTCCATAGTAACTGTCACCATGACACCAGAGGCCTGGCTCCAGCTCCTGGCTCTGCTGTCCTCCAACCCTCCCCAGCATCCTTCATCCCACAAGGTAGAAAGAAGACAAGACATGGCTGGGCACCATCAGGGGGTGTGGCTGAGGCCCTGCAGGGAGGGCGGCGAGAGTACCAGGTGGCAGGATTAAACATCACGAGCCACACCAAGGTGGCTGCCAAGGGTGGACACAGACAGACATCCACTGGGGGTTCCAATCTGCGTGGCTTTGCTCAGGTGGGGGCTGGGGTTTGCATGCACAGTAGGCGCGGGAACAGACAGGCACCCAAGTGGGCTTCCGGGAGTGGCATGGAGCGCTTGGCAGGAGGCCAGGCCCGGGGCCTCCACGGGCCTCATTCTCCCATTCTGTGGAGTGGGAAGGGTGAACAATGATGTCACAGAAAGAAGCACAGTGTCCTGCACGTGGTCAGTGCAAGATAAATATCTAGAGAATGAGGGCTGGGCTGTAGCTCAGAGGCAGCCCTGGCCTAGATAAATAAGCAAGGCCCTGGGTTCCTTCCCCAGCACTATGTGAAAAGAATTTAGAGACTGAATCAACAAAACACATTTAAAAAAACCAATGTCCTCACTCAGTGGCAAGGCTGCAAGCCCCCTCAGCCCCCTGGCTACTCCACACTCCATGCAGACCCACTTCCTCTGTCAGGCCCAGGTCCCCCCTTGGAGGCCAGCTAGCAGGGATCACGAGGTCCTGAGTCAACACCTGAGCTCATCCCATCCACTGTGACTTGCTGGTCTGTGACCCTGGACAAGCCAACCCTCTCTGAGCCCCACCTGTACAACTGCCTACCTCCATTGACATCTGTTGGTGGCCAGACTTGGAAACCCAGCCAGGCTGACTGAGCCCAGAGAGGGCCAGGTTGACAGTGGCAGATTCAGCAAATAAAAACCACAAGATGCTCAGGTAGATTCAAATTTTGGATAAAAGACCTGATAATTTTTTTTGCTATAGATATGTCCTCATAATTGCATGGGTCCTTCTTGTACACACACACACACACACACACACACACACACACAATAATAATAATAATAATAATAATAATAACAATTCACTGTTTACTAAGAATTTAAGCAGGCTGCCTCTCTTTCTCTGGCCACCCAGGTGGGAGGATACTTAACAAGCTGGGTGCAGGGGCTCAAGCAACACGGCGAGGACCCTCTCTCCCCTGGGTCCACCCATCCCGTCTCTGAGCCTGGGTCTGCATGGCTTCCTGCTGCTCAGGAAGGCTCTCCCCATGTGGGGGCAGAAATAGCCATCAGCTGCTCCCTGTCCCTCAGGACTGCTCATCCCGCCTCCCTCATGTTCGGTATCATGCCAAGCCCTGTCCCTGCCTCAGGGACCTCACTGGTCTGCATGCAGCTGGTGGCTACTCCGGTGCCTGCTCTGGACTCTGACACCCGCTTACAGGCCACCATCTCCCTGCTTCTGCTCAGCCACTCTCACGTCTCAGCTTACGCAGCTGCTCCCGGGGCCACCTCTGACCTGGGCACCATAACAGGCCCTCCAGCCTGAGCCCCCCACTCTGAACCTCAGCATCCTACACTGTGGGGTGAGGGAACTGGACCAGCAAAGGTCACAAAACTCAAATGTGACTAGGGTTTGGGCTGGGACCCAGAGACAGCTATGTCCTAGGGAGCAGGTGTAACGGAGCCCCTTTGCTCTTAAGGAGAAAAGCAGACCAGGCTGGCCGAGCTCCAGGCTCCCCCAGAGAACCAGAAACAGGGTCTCCATGGGGAAATCTCTCCATCTCTGGACAAAGTCACCCCACCCTGCCATTTAGAGCAGACCTCCTCAGGGGTGTTGCTGGCACCCCCCGCAGCAGAACGCCTGGGAGCTGCTGAACGCAGGGTCCCTGGCCCCACCAGAATCTTTGGGACTGGGCACCTGGCACTCTGCATTTGAGCAGGACCCTCAGGTCATGTTTGTGTCCACTAAAAATGTGGGAATGAGCCATCCTGGACTTTCCATGTCAGCATCTTGCCCTCCATTTCCCCCCTCCCCTTGGCCTGTCCTCCCCCTTCGGGCCACCTCACCCCACTATGCCACCTCACCCCACTGTGCCTCGGCACAGCCAAGGTGGCAACAGGAGCTCATGGGCAGGAGCACGGCCACCTGCCCATCACTGAGCCAGTGTGTCTACCCAGCCTGGAGCAGAGGGATTGCACCCGAGGCTCCGAGAAAGGAGGTGCCCAAGTCACAGGCCACTGGTGGAGGACTGAAATTCAAACCCCACCTAGTGTGACATCAGAAGCCCCCGGGAGCCCTCCTCTGAGCCAAACTCTCTCCCTAGATGGACTCGAGAAAAGTAATCACGGTGGTGAGAGGTGACCATGGGGCTCAGAGCTACTGCTTCTTCCCGAAACCAGCAGCTAACCAACCTGCACAGAACTGACCAGCCTCAGTTGGGGTGTTGAGAAATCCACTGAGGAGGACAGTGGCAGGTGGCCCTGGTAGGAGTCGAAGGCTCCCAGGGACAGGCATGAGGGGCCAGAGACCTCTGCTCTGACACTTCCACCTCCATTAGGAGCCTGTGACCCTCAGACAGGCTGCCCAGGCTACCCAGGCTGCCCTCCACTAACAGCTCTGGTGCCTGCCTCCCCTGGAGCTTAGCTCAAAGTATCACCACAGCAAAGTCACGACACAAAGCCCACGTCCTCGGCCGCCAGGGCCTCAGAGTCCTCTGCTGTGGCTTCCATCTCCCCGGCTACATTCACTTCCTCTGAGCACATGCGTAATCTAGCCATGGTCTAGTGAGCCTATATTGAGCACTGACTGTATGCTCTGTGCAGTGTTAGGCACAAACGCAGTGTGCACTGTCCTGATAGAACAGACCTACTATCCCCAAGTGTTATGGGGATAGAGTTGTGTTATGGCTTCGATCTGGAATGTTCCCTAAAGGCCGTGTATTAAGGCTTGGGCCTAGAGGAAGTGGTGGAACCTATAGGCAGGGCCTAGTGGGAGGTCACCAGGGGTACACCCTTGGGCATGTTAGGGCCCCTGCCCTTCCCTCTTTCTCCCTCTGCTTCTAGACACCATGAGGGGACCAGGCCTCCTTCACCACATACTTTCACCCCAGACCCAAGCGACAGGGCCTACTGACCACAGGCTGAAACCTCTGAAACCATGAGCCAACATAAACCTTTCCTCCTTTGAGGTCGACTACCTCAGGTATCTTGTCACAGTGACAGAAAGCTGACGGATGTGGGGAGAGAGGTGGCCTTCATCTAGGGAGAACTCTGGGCAAACTCTGTGAAGGAGGCGGCCCAACAGCAGGGATAAGAAAGGGGGGGTCAGACCCGAGCCACATGAAAATGAGAGGTCAAGGGCTCTCTCTCCAGCATGGACGGCACAGGTCCTGAAGGAAGCAGGTCCCGGCCCCGCCAAGTCTGCCTCCTGGGGCTTCTTGTCTGACCCTGAAGGCTGGGGCTTCCCAACCTCCGTCCTCTACCTACTGTGTGCCGTGTGTGCTTCCCCAACCTCAGAACCCCACTGTGTGCCGTGTTCACGTACAACCCGTGCTGCTATTTATTTCACATTTTTCTTTAATTTTACCATTTTTTTTTTAATGTATGTGCAGAAGAATCTCTTACACGGAAAATGGGCCGCGCGGGCACCGCAGGCGGGCACCACAGAAACCCAGCACTGAACACCAGGATCCCAAGGCCCAGGCCGCAGCCGACTCTCTCGGCTGAAAGAATGGCCCATGTTGGACATTAGAGACCCCGTCGCCATCCGATCCGTTCTCCCCTTGTAATCAGGACGGAGAGAAATATTCTCTTTAATATTTAACTTACAGCATCCCCCTCACTTGGGGACCCCAAGTTCCAGCCAAAACCTGAGGCCCATCCCTTGGGACAGCCGTGCTCCCCAGTTCCCTGTGCACAACCAGTTTACAACTGCGCCCTCTGGAGACCCTCGGTGGTGGCTGTGTCTGAGGACTGTCCCAGTGACCAGGCTCTTGGCACAATGCCATTATCATAACCACAGAGGCCACCACCCACCAGCTCACACCTGCCAGCTCACACCCACCAGCTCACACTCACCAGCTCACAGCTCACACTCAGAGGCGCTGCTCTGTACTGTGGAATTCTAATCCTCACTGTGGTGCCTTTGACGTTCCCTTGTACACAAGGAAACTGAGGCACCCAGCAGTCACAGACCCCCCAAGACAGAGGGTGACCCGTAGAGCCAGTCCCCAGCATGACCCTGTTTCACTCAGTCACTCAGCAGACGCGCACTGAGCGCCTTCCACGTTCTCTCTGGTTCCTTTCCAGTGGAGCCTGAGGTGTCTGCGGGTCCCAGCCTCCTGCATGGTCGGCGTCACTCACTGCCTGCATCCTCAGATGGACTCCAGGGGCTTCTGGGGACTTTGTCATGGTGCACCATCTGAATCTCCCTGGGGGACCAGGTGCCCTTGCCCCTGGCTTCCAGGGATGCTGGCTGCTGGTGACTGTCACCAAGTCCCTCCTGGGACATGCACTAGACCGCAGGGAACTGCATGGCCGTGGGTCCTGGCCCTTCCCTCGGAGGTAGCTGGCTCAGGGCCTGAGAGAGGTGTGGGAGCAAACCGGAGTCCTGGTGTCAATTCAAGGTGATGACATGGGGCTGCCCACACTCCCGAGCTCCCAGGTCAGCTGAGCCTCTGTGCCAGCTGCCTCCCAGCCCGGCTTCCCTCTGCCCACCCCTGCCCCGCTCACTCCCCCACAATCCAGGTCCCTGAGTCTGCTCCCCAAACACCATCTGCCTCAGGTCTCTCCCGGGAAGTTCAGCCTAGGACACCTCACAAAGGTGTCTGTGACACTCCGAGCCACACCCACCTCTGGCTCCCAGATGTCCCTTTCAACAGAGACCCCAGCAAAAGCAGCTCAGGTGCATAGGCATCCCAGGGGGCCTTGGTGACACGGATGCCCCAGTGATCCCAACCTCCACAAGCCCTGAAAGCGGGGGGCTGAGGGTTCTCATCTGTTTGTTTTACCACATTAGCTGATGAGCTGCTTCCCAGGCCCCGCCCCCACTCTCCCGAGTGGGTGTGGCCTCGGCTCTAATGACAGGCAGCCACTCAGCCGGACCGGGACTACATTCTCTTCCAGGCCACAGGGATCTGGGGGACCGACAAAGGAAGGAGAGGGAGATTGGATTGGGGGTGTCCGGAGGAGGGCTCTGCTCCCTCACCTCTGTCTGCCTTTGAGCAAGAAGAGCAAGATCAGCATTTCCCTTGCCGCCCGCTGCAGGTGGCCCTCTTGGGCCCGGCCGAGAAAGACCAGAGGGGTGAGAGGGCCACCTTTGTTCCCTTCCGAAAGGGCCCATCTTTAAAACTAGCCCACATCTGCCGCAGGCTTGACCCCTAACATTTCTGAAATTTAATTGCAAATTACTGTCTCAGCAATTCCACAGGCTTCCCAGTGTGGCCTGGACCCGGCCACCAGGCAGAAAGCGCATGGGATCCCAGCCATAGTCTGCAGAGGTGACCTGGAGTGGGGGAGAGGGCTCACAGGCAACCCTCGGGCAACCCCCTCGGGCAATCAGGCCCCCTATACACTCTTAAACATTATTGAAGACCCCAAGGAGCTTCTTTTAATTTCATATAAGAAATTAAAACACGGGCTGGGCACAAGGGCACACTCCTGTAATCCCAGAGGTTCGGGAGGCTGAGGCAGGAGGATCACAAATTGAAAGCCAGCCTCAGCACTAAGCAACTCAGTGAGACCCTGTCTCTAAATACAATAGAAAATAGGGCTGGGGATGTGGCTCAGTGGTCCAGTGCCCCTGAGTTCAGTCCCCCCAGGACCAAAAGGAAATTAAAACTGAAGATTGCACGAATACTTATTCATTCATTCAAAAATCACAATTACACATCCATTATATATGTTAATACATAATATATTTTCACGAAAATAAACTACTTCCAGGGAGAAGTGCAGCCTGCTATGGGTGTTCCCGAGTCCTCTGAATGTGGAGCTCTTCAAAGCTAGCTGCAGTCCCACGTCCGCGGCCTTCAGTCGGGTTCGACACCTTATTTTGTTGCTGGCAGGATGAAGAAGAGCTGGTCTCGCACACACAGGGAGCTGGAAAAGGTAGAAGCATTTTAACATCCTCTTGAGAATCATGGACATTCTTCTTGGGTAAACACTAAAACTTGACAAGTGACTTCTGTTCATTGCCATGTGCAGTCTGAACCTGTCACGTTGGAATCCGTCATCTGGGTTGCTCTGTGAGCCGCTCCTTCACCCAGGCCTCTCCAGCCCCTAAGAGTGTGAGATGACTCCCTGGTGGCGATGGCGGTGGTATCCAGAGCCCTCAGGAAGCAGCCCGCAGTCCTGCAGGGCCTCCTCCCCCCCACACCCCCCGCCAGCCAGCCCCATCCTGCTGTCCATCAGCAGTGACCTCCCAGTCTGGACAGGTTGTTCCCTCTGCCTGGGGCTGTCCCAGCCTCCCTGGGTGCCTCTCCTATGTCTGGGTGTGGCTGGCACCTTCCTGTCCCCTCCTGGGTCCCCAGCCAGGCCTGCCCCAACCATCTGCTTATCTCTACCTGACGCGGCTTTGAGCCTGATTGTTTGTTCACAGGTTGGCTTGTCACTGCCTTGTAAGTGCCACAAACTGACAGTGTCACCTTGGGCTTGCTGTCACGGCCCCAGCACGCGGAAGGCACGCAGCCGACCTTTGCCTGAGTGAAGAAGGCGTGTGCTCAGTTCATAGCAGGTCCCCAGAGCAGCCCAGTCCCCTCACTGCCCGGCCTGTCCAGCCATTGCTGGACACTGTCCCGAGACTGACGTCGACCAGCACACAGCATTGTTAAAGCCACCAGCGGCCTCTGAGCGGCCACCATGGCGACTCTTGCTTTCAAGACAAGGAGGCAGATGCAGAGCGGGAAGCAGGGGCGAGCAGTGCCCCGGCCAAGCCCTCACGGAGCTGCGGCTGCAGTTTCTCCCTGCTGGTCCCGAGACTGAGCACCCAGGCCTCTCCTGCCGCCTGCCTTGTGATGTCAGCAAAAGCCCCATGATGTCAGCAAAAGCTGGAGCCAAGGCCCTCTCCTGGGGCTTTGCCCTCAAGCACCTGCTGACCTCGCTTGTGGTGTGTCCCAGAGTCCAGGGCTGGGCCCCAGGGCAAGGAGATCAAGACTCCTCCTGGGGCTCAGGGACACCTGTGTCACCGTGACCCCCACCACAGTGGTCTTCTAGGAAGCTTCTTAATTAAGGATGATTGAAATTCCTCTGGGTTAGAGGATTCCTTAAAATTCCTGGGGAAGGGGCATTGTGTGACCTGAGTGCTGGTGTCCGCATCTGGGGGCTCAGGAGGGCCAGGGCAGAGGGCAGCTGGCCTCCCAGGGCTGGCCCCAGTTTGGAGCCCTTCCTCCCTCCAGTGCCAGCTCTCAGTCGTCCCCCTGCACCAGGGGCTGGTGTGGGCAGGCGCCCAGCAGCAATGGGAGCTGGTATTGGCCTGAAGCTCTTGGGAACTCTTGGGAGAGGAAGCCCACAGTCCACTCTGCGTTCCCCTGTCTTCTTTCATTGGTTCATTCCTGGCTAATGTCCCCCGTCCCAGGCTCCCATTGTCATTCCGGAGGCATCTCAGCCCACTGCAGGCCAAGCCCAGGCTCCCTCTCCCCATCTCCGTCGCAGGGCTGGCAGGGACCAAGCCATCGGGAGCAAGATGCGGTGACTAGCTTTTTAATTTCATGGCCGGGGGTTGTCAGGACAGTGCAGAGGAGACTGCCAACCATTCGGAAAGCAGCCCATGAATCTGGGGCAGAACCGCGGGAACAAGGGAGCACTTCATCCGGGATGGGGGTGGGCAGCCGCGGGGGTGAGAAAGTTCTCCTCTTCCAAATGCCTCTGGTTCAGATCCGGGTTAATTTAAAAAGATCGATTTAGTAATTTTTCACCCTTCCTCAAGAAAGTGGTTCAGATGGCTGAGAAAGAAAAGGAGGAGGGGTGCCGGCTGGATCTTCCTCTAGATGGTCCTGAGGATCCCTGGCCATGGGTTGTCATGAGATGGGGGTCATCAATCTGAGGGGCAATGGTCCTGTTTCCAGTTCATTTTTGCAAATTGGGATGACAGCACAAGTCTACCTCCAGTTAGGAAATAGCCCACTGTCAGAATGAAAAGTACACCATCCCAAATCCAGCTTCGCCACAGACTGCTGTGTGATTATGGGTTAGTGGTTCACCCTCTCTGAACTCTGCAAATTGAGAACATTGAATAAAACAGTCCCTAATATCCTTTCCCAGCTTGGTGTATCTCTGCGTTTACCAAGTCCACTGGGAATCTCTTCATTACCCAAAGGATGGGTTCTCTGGTCTTTTGAGCAGATCAGAGGGTCTGAACTGAGAGGGTCTGAACTGATCCACTGGGACATGCGCACACCTCTAGCAGCACCCAGGGGCTGGAGGAAACCCCTGCTTTGGGGTGTGGCACAGAAGACCCTCCTCTTAAATTGGAGGTGGCTGTAGCACATGTCTAAAGCCCAGCCTGACAGGCTCTGGTGGGCCCGGAGTGATGGCAGCCGGGAGCCCACCCAGCCTCCGGGAGCTTACCAGGCAGCCTGCTCATGCCCACAGGCTCCTCAGAGAGATGGGCACTTTTCAGCAGCCCAGGCTTCCTCTGGAAAGAAACCCTCAGCATGCCATGGCCTGAAGGATGGGCAGCGGTGGTTGGGATATCTGGAGAGTCCATGGGCCTCTTGGCCCCTCTCTATTTCAGCTCCAGAAGGACGGCCGGCCAGAGCGAGTCCGGCTGCTGTGATTGTTTCTCCCCAAGTGCCTGTGTTGGAAATTCACATTCATAGTTTGGAGGGGGGCCTCCGGGAAGTCATTAGGGTTAGATGAGGTCATGAGGGTGGGGCCCCCATCCAGGCATCGGTGACTTTGCCAGAAGAGGAAGCTCCAGCACGTGCTCTGTCTCCCATGCTGCCCTCCACCATGTCATGAGTCAGCACCAGGCCCTCAGCAGATACCAGCCCTTGCTGTTGGACTTCCCAGCCTGTGCAGATGTGAGCTATGTCAACTTCTAATCTCTATAAATTTCAAGGCCTCAGGTATTTTTTTTTAATATCAACAGGCAGTGGACTCAGACACTGGGGAAGCTGCAGGGCACCAGGCACATGAGCTTGGGTCTGCCCCGCCTCAAGGGACCTCACACTCCCAGGGTTTGCCTGCCCCATAGCCCTTCTGAAAGCTTTAGCGATGGCACTTTTAAATGGAGCATGTGCAACAGTTGATCCCATCTCACCCAGTGACCACGGACCAAATGCTAGAATTTCCATAAACACCCAATCCAGAGAAGGGTTCCATGGTAACTTCTGAGATAAGCGGATTCCAAAGCTACACTGCAGAACGCTCATTTCCTCCAGTGCACATTTGCCTCTTCATCACAGGAATGTGAACCTCATGCTTTAACAGGAGACTGTGTCAAGAACTCAAAGACTACATTTCCCAGCCTGCCTTGCAGCTCTCTGTGGCCAGGAGACTCGGGCAGCCATCTTGGATCAGGAGGCAGCAAGTTAAGGAGGCAGAGCAGAGAAGGGGCTGGAGGGTCCCTGCACTGCCCCATCAGCCCGGAACCACCTTCCTCCAGACTTGCACACAGACAGACAAACGTCTGTCTTGCATCAGCCACTATTAGTTTGCAGTTATTAACTGCAAAATGCAACCAACAATTCTAATAGAGGCAGGAAAATAATTGTTACCCATCCTGGGAGGATGGATTCCTGCCTTCATTGTGAAAGGGTGGCTTTTGTGTCTGGATGGGCCCTTTGATGGGTCTGGAGATGCAAAAGTGGGCCTGGACCTGAGTTGGAGGAAGGAGCTCAGGGAGATGACTGGCTGGGCCTCCACCCCACTGTGACAGCCTGGCATTCCACCGGGGCAAACCACTAGGGTGGGTGTGGAGAGCAGAGAGTTGGACGGGGTGGGCACACTCCAGAGGGGAAGCAGCTGACAGGGAGGCCCTCTGGAAGAGATTCCAGGAACAAGGAAGTTGAAAGTGCAACTGGCAGCTTGCTTGTTTCTAAGCGTCAGTTCCTGAACTGACACCTGCTGAACTTCAGTCAGTACCCAGGCATCAGGGTGCCAAGTTTTTTCACCTGAAAATCTACCCATCACAAGGAACAGCAAGGCAGGCTTTCCAAAGCACACATGACCACAGGGAATTTGCAGAAAGTGAGGAGAGTCAGGCTGGGCCTCCTGCAGGGCCTAGGATGGCCACAGGGAGGAGGTGAGCCATCTTAGCTGGATCTCAAGGGGCAGAACATCTGAGCCAACACCTGCCCGATGAATGGTTTTGTTTGTTTGGTGGTCCTGGGGATTGAACCCAGGGCCTTGTGCATACAAGGCAAGCACTCTACCAGCTGAGCTACATTCCCAGCCCAGCCCCATGAGATGATTCCTGCCATCCCCTCACTGATTTTCCTGCCTCCATGTCACCCAATCCAATCAGAAATCCTTTCTCATCAGCTATTTAAAATCCATTGTCTCCACTCCCAGATCAAACTTGACCTCTGAAATGGGGGCATTAATAGTCCCCGCCCCATCCAACTCTCTCCCCTCCACCCTGCGCCTACCTGCTCTCCACACCCACCCTGGTGGTTTGCCAGGGTGGAATGCCGTAACTTAATCAAGTTCACTACCTGGGGTACCCACCGTCCCAAATGCAGGCCCTGTGACCCCACACAGCTCACGTGACTTGCCATGACCTTCAGAATGCATCCAAGTTCTGCAAGCCTCAGAGCTTCTGCTCAAACTGCACCCTCTGCCTGGGCCACTTCCTCCTCTGCTTCCCACACACACACAGTCTTAGGCTCCTCAAAAATTAATTCTCGCAACTTTAAGAGTAAATATCTATGGATAGGGTGGACTGTGGCTCTCAGAATCTCTGGGAGGACCAGAAGTCCAGGTTTGGAGACTACAAAGACAGGTGCCATACCCAAAGTCATGCCACTGGACACCCAGGGGAAATGTCACTGCCCCGGTGCTGAGGCAGACATGGCATTAGTGCCTCCACAGTGGCCCACCAGGTCTCACTTGCCCCTGCAGGCTGTCCTGAAGGCTGACAGCTGTCCCGACACAGGCTTGCTTCCTCATATGCCCCCTGCCCCATCAGAGTGTCAGAGTGGCCCAGATGGCCAGAGTCAGGAGCACAGGTTCAGGAAGCTGGGAAATCTGACTTCTGGGCTCTGCAGCAGAAGTGTCCACCTCCTACTGATTGTGGTGTCCACCTCCTACTATGTCGCTAAGCGCTAAAAGCATGTCCAAAAGCACTTCTATAAGGCACCTGCTGCGTGCATTAGCACTCCACTCAAGGGCCACCTTCTTTGTGATGGTCCAAGGCCACCTGAGGCTGCGCCCTCTTGGCCTCTGTGCTACCTCCATCCCAGGCGGCCGTTCAAGGGCACCTCTGTCTAGCTCTGCTCTCCTCCAGGTTGAAGTGCAAGGTGGAGGCCATGTCCAGGTCTCCCTTGCACTCGACATCCCTCTGAACCCAGGACGGAGACACAGGGGGATTAGATCCGCTCCAAGGACGAGGACTACAAGAAGGTGACATGTGCACATGTTGGGGGGTCGAGGTTGTCACTAGTGGGCAACAGAAGTGACTTAGGAGCATCTACCAGGTGCTGACTTCCTGCCAGGTGCCATAGGTACAATGTTTTGTCTATGCAGAGAAATTCCAGGAAGTTCTGTTTCTG